ACAACAGTATCAAAAAGACTGGTAAACAAAGATAAATTTTGTTTATTGGTACTTGTAATTACCTGTTGTTATTCTGGATCAAACTGATCTACCTCCTTTGGCAAATTGGTTCCTATGGCGACGAAACAGGAGTCTTGAATCCTACTGGTAGCCACCATCAAGGAAATTACACCATAATGAATAAGCAAGCAATAACAAAGGAGCTCAAATGCAAACGGAAGTCGTTCATTGCAATCCAGAATAACAACAGGGAATTACTAATGAATGGTAACTATTGCATGAGAGGTGTGTCTCACGCCTCAGTAGCCTAGCGGATTACGGTCTGGTGTTTGAAGCGATGGCTGCTAGGTCCAAGTTTCATAGAGAATAACATCACTTATTAGGTTGCAGCTACATCCAGATGACCAGTACTAAATAGGACGGAAAGCACATCCTGAACTCCACGGTTAGTTAACCGTTAGGTAAATTAGAAAGATAACTTTTGTTCATATGAACGAAAATGGGATGATAAACTTGTTCTAAATCAAGAATTTTGTCGCATTCTATACTTTGAATAGGAATTCATTGACTTAGTTCTTCATGAAAGTGTAATCATTCAGTGATTGGCTGAACGACTTCATGATACAGCATCTGGATAAACAAGTAGTGATAATCTCCTAAATCAGCGGACTAGTAACAAGTTATGAATTCTCTGAACCAAGTCGCTTTTATGAAATCTATTTTTAAAGTTTCACCATCATAAACAGGCGTTAATGTATGAAGATGAAAATACATTTTGTGTGCAACTAGGAGACTGTGGCAAAGGATATCTAGGTTTTCAGGTTGAATTTAGCAATGTGATTAGTGAAGATAATAGTGAAGGAAGGGAACTGATAATATTCTTTCGATACTAAATGATGATTGAAGGTGAAATGAAAATTTGGACCAACGACCACCGAGTTTGCGGTTTACTGCTTTACCAACTGAGCTATGATGGTAGTCTCTGGTTCGAATCCGGCCGTGGTTCAAATTTTCATTTCACCTTCAATCATCATCCAGTATCAATACTAGTCTGCCACACCACGCTTATTTCAGATAGTTAAAATGACAATATACTTTTCCCAATATAACCTTACTTTTAAGTTGTAGATTTTCAAGTTTTTGTGGAAATTGACGATATTAGACACAAAATTTAAGGAAAATTTTATCGAAGCTGGCATATAATATTGAATGCAAAACTTAAAGCATGGCATCCTGAGTGTACTGAATCCTTACAGAGACGATGATGTGATTGATTTCCACTGCCTGCTGATATAAGTTGATGGGGATTATATCACTTAGTATGAAGAATGACCATTCAAGGAAGTTTAGCAAAGCGTACTCCATATAAGCTATTAAATTAGTATATTATGGTGAATACTCGCAGCTCAGGCTGTAGATGTTCGCAGCGAGTTCTATGAATTCTGGTTTTTAGTTGGCAAACATTTCAATACTACGCTTGATATCGTTATCGGTTTATCACAGCTTCACAAGGATTTGGCATATTCATTACGAAGTTGTTGAACGTAACAATTTCTACTTTGCAGAATAATATATTGTAAGATGAATACGATTAGTTGTTCTGAGTGGATCTCAGTATACATGACACTTTATCAAAGGTTATTTCTTTTGTTTCTTCTGATGATTTTCAGTCGTTAACTGTCAAAAAGAAACTATTTCTTTTAGAATGAAAATACCTGTGAATATTTCTTTCCATAAAAAGGTTACACTGATTCTTGTAGAACAGTAAGTTAATAAGCGCAACATATATTCCCTCCGAAGTCTTTTTGATGTTAAGACTTTAAGTAAGTAGGGATATCTGCCAGAAAATGGATTGCATACTTTTTTAGAGGGTTGATAATTCTTTCAGTTTTCTAACTCAAGATGGTTTAGACGTAGCTAGAACCTATGGCCTACTTTTCAGTCAGGTGCTAAATCTGACAAATCTTCACCGACCCGCTCTATATAACTATTACTAAAACTTAAACTGTCTCATTAAGGTAACTCAAGGAAACTAATGATCATAAGCGGTTATGCAAAAGAAGTGATTGTGTAAAGTTTAATAGTACAGCTTTACCTGAGACAAAATTCAGACAGTGATTTCCATAGTATCAATAACTTTGGAAGTAGTTTTCACTCAGCACTGAAATCAGCTGAAAAGATTTCGAAAACACTGGAGGAATGAACAGCTGTATCGTCATAGTATGGGACTCTTCAGCAGTCGGTTACCAGATGCCAGTGAAGAGTTCAGGCTAACAAGGTCAGGTCTCTCAGCAAGCACTTTAGTATTTAGATACTGAGTTAGAACCCAACGGTTAACTTTTTTCAACTTAAATCACATAACAAGACGGTTACACAATATCACTGATGAGTACCTGTCCCCACTTTCAAGTAGGTCAAACAGTTGTCCTTAGCACTCAGGTTATAATTTATTTTTCAGCTAACGTCAAGCCACGAGTAAACTTACTTTAAATTATGTTACGAAGTTGCATAAACTTCAACTGATAAACATTCCCATTTCTGACCAGTTTTCAAAGGTTTTATTATTTAAGAACAGACGTCTCATAAGAATTTTGTGACGTCATTAGTCATATAGTGTAAATGTGAAATCTCCGCAATCAGATGTGGTTTCAAGAACAGGAAACATGTTTCAGATTCACTGTGAGCCAAACATTTCCCCTGGTAGTGTAACCTGCTACGAAATGTTTATGAAAGTCAGTCGGTAGAGGGATGAAGGGATAAAAGAGCATCAATTCCAGTTAAAACACTAAGCGATTATCAAAAGCTGAGTAAAAAATGTAGTAATAACTCTGACACTTCCATATATATCAAAGTTATCATAAGGTAAAGGTAAATTAAATGAATGCTATTAAGAAGAATATTTCAACCAGTATACATCATTTTATGGATTAAGTGTAGAACTGAATTGTATGATATCCATGTAAGTTGTTTGCTATAGAATTGAAAGTGCAAGTTTAGTCTTATGTCAACCCATTACTGAACTCATAGTTTTGACCGGGAACGATCCACCCATTTGAAAAAGACAAACTGATATTCCCTGTAATAAATGGTTTAGTATCATTTGAAAACGTTGAAAACACTTAGTATTCATTCAACCACCAGTTTCAAATATGTCTAGCTGGATGATTTCAGCCACAGCTTTTAACTTCCTTTTCGAAAACTATACCGGTGGATGTTATTAAACTAGCTGTCAGATAGATCTCATAATGTCTTTGCAAAAGAAACCAACTTCTCAAGTGCACTTAAATCCATAGATGTAAGTTAATGAGTGTATAAGGAATCCTAATCTCTAACCGTTTTAGTAAGATAGATTTAATTGTAAAGTCCAGTGACAGACTGGCTGCTGGGAATATTTATCACAGACATAACGGGAATCTGTTTGTAATGGTATCTGACGAAGGATAAATTTTTATACAATTTTTATTCCAAAATCAGCTAGTTGTACACACAACCGTCACTCCTCAAATATAAGTTACCACTTTATTTTATCATATTTTTGGTATACTGTTTATCTAAAGATCAAGCTTGATGAGGAGTAAACTAAAATATGTATCTGACCATTTGTTTTGTCTATGATACATTGTATTTTCTTAACTTGCATGTGCACACTTTCTCGTCACCATCAACTACCTCCGGCACGCTACTACTTTAATTGATCACTGAAGGGTAACCAACTTCATATCGTCTACTCCCAAGTGCTCATCGATTTCTGTCGATCATTTTGCACTTTAATCACCAAGCTTGGAGACTCATTGTTGCGATGAACTAGTATAGATGTTAACTGTATGGAGGGAATCGACAGGAGGCCTTGAACCTAGGTTATCATGATATCATGTGTTGCTGATGAATGCTATTTGTTATATTTCACTAGATGATTTCTTTGTGACTCAATGTTTATTCGTTTAACATTGCAAAGGAAGTTTACTGAATTCGATGACTTCTGTAAGAATACTAGAAAGTTATCAGGATATGATTGGATTCCAGTTGAAGAAAGCTATACAAGTTGTTTTCCTTCCTAATTCACCCTACTTTTCTTAGAGAAGAATAAACATGGTAAAAAGTCAACATTAAGTAGAATAGACGAAGATCTGTATCAGAAAATAAGTTTTGAGGTTTTAGGTATGTCTGGCCGTTTAGTGTCAACAGGTACAGTACTTTGGTATATCTTGAAGCCTTAACAATATGTCTTATCAAGTACTTCTGCGTGTTTCTTATCAAGGTAAGGGTATAAACACGTTTTTGTTAATTGTCAAAATCCTTCTCCCGTCATACATTTTCCTTCATTATAGTTGTCTATGGAATGGTTTGTCAACTGATTTTCAAATAATGCCTAGTGCTTGTCGAATTACTAACAACAGAAGTGAAGAATTATGTATAAAGTTTTAATTTTCAGGCTGTGTAAAAATATATCATAGTGTATATCCACAAACAGTCAAGTAAACAAGGTAAAGTTTGAGTCAATTAGTCTATGCGCTTTTAAGCAAAAAGTTGCTCAAAAACACACATAGTGAAAATCATACTAGTTTCTCCTACTGAAGAGTCAACTTGTGCCCAGTCTGAAGGGGTAATCTAGTAAAACGATTGTGAAATATTCCTACAGACCTTAAAAGCATAGAGTCCTTCGATCAATGTTATCAGTACATAACTGACTGAATCCACCATGTAAGAACCAATCTAGTTCATATAATAATATTTCAACTAAGTAGAAATGAGTTGATACTATGTTTTTTAGAAGTGATCAGCGTCATCAAGCATATCTAAGTTTTTCGAAGCCGAGGTATGCATGCAGTTCTGACAATGAGATTGCGTAAGGACAATACGTCAGCGAAATTGAACAGCACTAATTATCAGTGAAATAGGTAGGATGTTGACGTGCTGAATCTAACTGCTTATATATTTGCTAAACTTGTGAACATTTTAATGATATTGTATTACTGCTTTATATTACTTCAAAAACATAGAGGGACAACTGGAAATTTCAAAAGATGGCCGGAAACTCAGAGTTCTAGATCGTCCAACAGTATTGGGTGAATTGGCTGTTCTCTATAACTGTACAAGAACTGCAAGCGTTAAAGGTAAGTGAACATTCGCCGCATCTTATCACGTTTTTTAAACAAGACTATAGTATTTATGCTATGATATTATCATCATTCCACAAAACGTCAGTTAACCTTGAACGAAGAAACGTGCTTAACAGATTCCACCATTCACATTGCCTGACTTCTATGACAACACATCAACACACTTGATAGAATCTGAAATCACAATTGAAATAGGAATGAAATGATAAAAACGATTCCCAACACTATGAGTCCGCTTCCTTTCTGTGCTGAACTCAAATGGGAGAGTCACACGACCTTTTATTTTCAGTTGGAGAAGAAACTAACTGGACTGTCAGAAATAATTCTCAGTTCAGTCACAGTCAACAAACTATGGGTCTGTGAACTGATTCACACCGCTGCATTGTTGATATCTGCCTATCATGGCTGACAAGACTAACGTCATGACTAGCCAAGCATACTACATCACTTTTCATGCAGCTTAGGCTTTATCGGTTGTGAAATTCATCCTAAAGCAGAGCTTCTGGCAAATCAAAGTGATTTAAGACGTTGGAAAGGAATGAAAATTGGTAATTACTATTATGATTATTTCCTTTCTTTATTACTTGCATTAGTGATCGATCATAACGTCTGGTTCTTTGTGCCCAGAAATTTTAGAAGTACAAAGTTCAAGGGACACCAAATAGATGTCATTCTCATGATAAGCAGCAAATGCTGTTTATTATTGCATGGTCAGTTCTTGAGATTGTTAAAAAAGAAAGCATCATCTTAGAGAATCACTTCTTGCTTAACTCGAATTTATGAATTTTTCACCAAATAGCTACCTGTATATTTCTCACAGGTATATAGTGCATTATTAGGCAAACTGATAAGACACTAAAGTTATTCAAATTCAATGTCGAACAACTAAAGTCAGTCCACAGGATACTATTTAACTCAAGTAACTAGTTGACAGTTAAAGTAACCGGGTGGTAACAATCCATGCCAGAGAATAAAATCAACAAGGAGATAGCCAAGAAATAACTTTTTTCTGTTCTAAGGTAGATCTGTGACTTTTGATAGTCTAGTCAGTATCTGTTTCTCCCTGGCAAAACACCGCTACAATCTCTTCCTGCAATTAATCTTATCAGGTGTGAGTTAGACATAAAGACCAAACTGAACATCAGCTTCTACAAGAATGGGTTGACATTTTACCTTCATCCTGTATTTGATTCACATGAATAGTTATATTAGGTGACAATCAACATTCAGTATCATTTCAAGCGATTTATTCCTAACATCAACTTGCATAAACTTATGAGGTTACTAACTGACAACGAGCTTTATTAATCTTCATTAGAGTCATTACTATTATGATGATGATGATTGTTATGTGTAAACAACTCTTTAACATTGATAAACAGACTGAAATTGCACTTTATGTGAATTTACATAATAATCTGAACAATCACATGTGACAGGTATAAAGAATTTGAGGTTGGGAAATATGATAATTAGTCTTAGCTGGTTCACTCTAAATGTTTCTTTAAACAAGTATTTGTTATTATGATTATTTGGTGAGATACATTAAGAATACCTCTAAAACAAAGATAACAATAATAACATATTGCTCCAACATCACAAACAATAAAAAAACGTTTTCCATAAATACCATTCACTACATAACATGAAAATACAAGTATACTATAATTCTTGATTAGTAAAGATTTTATTCGTCCAGTTTTAAGACAGGTTTGATAAAGTACGCATGAACTTGAACCAAAAGATAGTTAAAATGGCAGTTTTCCAAACGTGACACTTGGCCGTTAAAGCTTGCGTTTACCTTCAGATTTTGGACTGCACTGTATTGAGTTAGACCTGATATAGTCTGAGATAGTATCAGAGCGATGGCAATGAACTGTGTTTTCATAATTTGACGTTAGAGAGATTGACAGCATATATCTATGTTACAAGCATGAGAGTACTATATCGCTAGTTGGTGAATTATTCTCCTCTAAATAGACAAGAACTTTAGAATCACTCCGATTGCGGCAATCTCCCCGGCATTCAGTATGCGTAAATGAAAGTTTACAGTTTTTTGTTGAGTTCATATGGAGTTTGTTTTGGAAAGCTATTGGAGATACCTTTGTGTTGGGTTATAAAATATTTGGTAACCCTAACGGGTCTAAATATGAGGGCATGGGACTTGCCTCGAAGGTCTGAGATAGTGAAACTGGGTTATCTAGTGGATTAGAGGTGAAATCTTATTGGTTTATATGCATACCAGGGTGTCCCAGTGCTGCACGTGTCCTAAGCACATATTTTCTCACCGCCATGCCAATGGTTACATTCTGGTTGGCTGAGATGAGTGTTATCAACCCAGCTGACTATCTATCAGCTCCTTTGGCCTGGAAACAAGTGCTCCTACCCAAGGGTAAATCTGTGAACTCTGCTTTGAGGATTGCAGGTGAAACATGTTTGGTATGCCTTCCAGAGGGCTATTCTGTAACTTCCTTAGGTAAGAATCTGCCATGACTGAACCTAGCGATGATAACATGACAACATTCTGCCAATTTATAATAGTCTTCGTTAAAGAAAAAGTTTAAATTCATTGGAAATCTTAACAGATGCTCTTCTGAGACAGAAACAGTTATTCCAGTTTCTACGTTTGCCTCATCATTTTGCTACGTAATGAATACAACGTCTCCACTGGAACTACACTTGTGAATAGTAATAAACTTCCTATTCACAGGAAACCTAATAACCTGTGAATAAACTCAAGATTATCCTAAACGTTGTATTTCAAAAATTCTGTGATCGGTGGTTGTGTAAGTTCTACTAGCCATTTCACAATTGCATAATACGGAGAGGCTGACAGGCTGAGAACTGGTTGGAGTGATATTCCGCCTTCATATGCTTTTGGTACAGCATGCAGCCTCGATGTTGCTGTACCTTCAGGTCTGAGTGCTTTTCACACGCTTTACACAATGAGGCATTGCTGTTACAACATTTTTAATGACTCCAATTATGGCCTCTCGGTTGTTCTGTCATAGTAACAGTAGCTGGTAGACTTTTAAGTTTACTATGGTCAATCGGTGCACTGTTCATCTGATTCAAGTAATCTGCTTTATTCAATATAATCACCCTTGACAATTCACCATAACCTAGTAATCATCAAATCCCTATTCATTCGAAGTCTGCGAATAGTTTTTATGTCTTTCAGTCCAGATCCGTTTGGTATTTGGCTTACTTTATTTATCGCTACCAACAGGAAACCAGAGTGGACTTGGATCTGTCTATCTCGTCATCCGATGAAAGCACTAGATCTCCCCTCTGCGTATAGAAGATTAAAACTGGGCTTATGTATCTAATCAATAAAATTTAGCGTGTTTATCACGGAGATTTGAGCCTCCATGTATAGCTTCTAAATCTACTGTATCAAGTCCAATAGTGAACTTGTAGCCCTATCAACCAGCATTTGGAGGAGATCTAGACTGTGATGTTTGATTATCCAGACTATGAATAAGGTGAATCTACTTCTGTTTTTTTATTCTATGGAAGATTTGAGTTATATAGTTGAAGATGATTATCTCTGGTGATCAGCGGGATCATCAACAGTGTCAAAATCTTTCTGCAACATTTTTCATTGCTTCTGTAACATGCGATTTCAGACAGTCAATCTGGTTCTGTGCATGCCTGTCAAGTGTCCTTCTGTTTAGTCAAACTCCGTTACAAGGTAATTATTTCCAATGGACAATTTGTGTCTATACACTCATCAGAATAGTTTATTGATTTCGCTGCTTCATTGAATCTTGCTGGGCTTTTTTAATGCTCATTGAGGACGTTCAAAACAACGTCTGGGTTTAAAAGATTTCAGTAGAATAAAAATTCAGTTTTAGATATTTAGATGAAAGAATTTCAGCTAGAGTTTTTGTTTTCATTGTTTTCTAGAATTTTTTTTGCACTATCTCATTTGCTATTCTCTCACTTTATGAATCAGAATATATAATGTGAAAAAAACATCTAGCAATGTAGACCGTGCGAATTTTTGTTGCAATGATTAGTTGTTAGTTTTAGTAGACAAAATGCCACATTCCTATTTTCTCTTTGACTGGATATATTGTTGTATAAATCTCAACGTAAACCTTATCTATCAAAATGTATCAGTGTCAAAACTTTACACTTTTGCATGAGTTTTTAAAAAGAAAGTACTATAAATAATAAAGGTATACACCTACATTAATCTACCACCTTTTTGGTTTTGTGAAGTAAATTTCGCAATGGAAAGGTCACAGTTTGACCAAAAACCTTCCTAAGCAATATTTGCCCCCATAAAGCTTACTTCTTTAAAATAACAGAGGTAAATCAACAATGCGTAAAACTGTAGGTAACTTTTAGTGAAATAAACGATTCAGAGGAAAATGCGATCTTCATGTACTAAGACTTTGGCAGTATACAGTATGGAAATGGGGCCTGAGAACAAAAAGATCCAAAAATCCTCTAAATCATGGCGATTAAACAATTATCGAATTCATTGTAAAACTTTCATGAGCGCCTGATATTCAGCAGATTCCTCATTTACAATCTAGTGGTCGGTTTGCGAGTCTATTCCAGTCATAAAGTGTTTCGTTGATGCTCTAAATGTGGTACAAATCTATTTCTTAAAAGAACTGTCCACCCCATACTTCAACATATATTCAATAAGATTTTAGTCCTCAAAATGACGAAACTCATCTTTGGGTTAATTCAACACTGAAAATAAATAAGCAAGAAAGATTTATGGCTTGGGAAATAAGTCAGGTGCAATTGACTGACTGTATTTTCAATGAAACAAGCATTAAGACTCAACTCCATTTGATCTCCAATTCTGACATCAAAATAACACCATCTGAATTCCACTGATCAATATGTTTATTTATACGGTAAAAATATTGACAGTAGAAACTTTGAAAACATCTTTTATTTATACTGGAAGATGATTGAAGGTGGGATGAAAAGCTGGGCCAGCGACCACCGGTGGTCGCTGGTTCGAATCCGGCCGCCAAACTACGGCTATCCCGGACAGTCAAATGATAAACATCTTTCATGTTTCAAAATGTCTTTCTCATGATTCCCCTACAACTGAAATTTTTGACTCTACTTTATTTACCTTTTATGTAGCTCTCACAAATGGAATACTTTGGGCCATCGATCGAGTATCATTTCAAACTATATTAATGAGAAATCACTTACAGAAACACAATGATTACATAACATTTCTTAAAAGGTTAGTTAGAAATGAAACTAATATCTCTATACCAATCTACTAATTGTCATGCAAGCGGAAAATAATCACTGTTATTAGAGTTTCGATTGTTTGATTTAGTCAAAATTTATTGTATTTTTGACACCACTAACACATTTGTAAGGGTTTTTTGTGTAATGTATCTAATTATTTCAGAATGGTGCATTTTAAGGAGTAAACAAAGGGAAATTATACCTTTCAAAGAAATAGTTGTAAATAAAGTCATCTTTAAGTATTCAGTCACATCTTTATCATAAACGCAATATATGGACACTGGCAGGATTTGATAGAAAACGTCAGCCGTTAGTTTCAGTTCTGTCAGTATCTAACTCGTTTTTATTTTATTCAGTTGTCGACTCAGAACATTACAGAAGCTTAGATGAAAGATTCAGCTTATTCAAAAGATGTCAGACATGTCGTACATGGAATAAGAGAGAAACTAAGTCTTTGTTGTTGAAGTCTTAGATAATACTAAATATGTATTGAGTAAATAGCTGCATTACTGCAAGCTGGAAAGTTTTTTTCGAACTAAACGTGTCTACTTAATGTTTATGGAAAGTTTTTGAAATATAAACTGACACTTCAAGTCATAAGTCGTGGAATAACTTGAGCCTTGACTTTCGGTTTTTACTGCATTGTGATCACTATAATTATTTTAGTCAGTTCTGGCTTCTTATTGAGATATTTAGACATGAATTTATTCAAACAAACACGTTAGCTATAAGCCTCTCTTGTGCACATAAACCAACATTCTCTTCCTTTACATCCATGGTGAAAACGAAGTGGGTTAACAGGCAGAATTGATGTCTATTGAAAACAAATAAAAACTAATAAATCAACTTTAATTAAAATAGAATATTCTAAAGATTACCAGTTAAATGTTCAACCAACCAACGAAAAGTAGATGAAAAAGGTTAATAATAATTTATTCTCTGACTGACCTAAATTTTAGAACACTTTTTAAAACTGAAATGTGAGTGTTGAATATTGAAGACATTCTATATATTCAATAGTTTTAGTAATTGATAAAGTAAACTCAAGTTATATTGATCATAGTAAAAATCATTGCAAAATTGTATGAATAAGTAGTACACTATATGAAGTGCTTCATTTAATCAGACCTTCAAGTGGTGAATAAATAGAAAATCTCTTTCAAGCAGCAAATGAAAGGTTAGCAACTAGTCTTCTGCAAGTGTTGACTCAAAAAACCTTTCACTTTAAGCATTTCCGATTTCATATTATGATCAAAGCAGAATATGAGTGTACGTAATATCAACACTATATTTAGTGATTTGATCATCTTTTGTGACCATTTGATCAAACTGTTTCTCTGATTTCTTATCATATCATCAATATATGTATCGTTATATACTTGGTTTAGGCAATCTATTCAGAATTCTGATTCTATGTTTCGCTAAACCACTGGCATCTAAACACATCATTTATTCTATCCTAAATTGAAGGAATTCGAATCCTTCTCTTCATTGTTTCTGAAGTATTTAAGGGATATTTATTTAACGAGAAACTTCACAGTCACTACATCAACACTTAATGATCCAAACATTTGAAGTGAACAAGTACAGTTTCACATAACCAACCTATTTGAGTGAAATTTAAATAGTTTTGATGGTCTACTTACAGACATAATCTCACTTCATGGGGTACACACTAAACTTCATAAATTGTGGGGTCTGGAGTATATCTGTTTATCTCTAAGCAGGTGACTGTTATGCACAAAGGATTTTCATCTCCCACCCTGTGTATGTGAAAAATGAATTCTGAAAGTGAGCGACTTCAATACAATGTGATTCTCTGATAATAATTGTCTTCGTAACATCGATCGTGTATTGTAGAAGCACAAAGAGCGAAGTTTCGAGGTTAAGCAACTGGCACTAAATAGCAAAGATAGATCAATCTTTAAAGTTATCGACATACATTTACTAGAGTGGCTGTAAAGTATGCTTCACATGCCAAACGTCTGTTAATTCCAACAAGTAACATAAGGTTAAGCAAAATTCAAGTGAAAGATAATTGAGAGTGGTTAAATCAGTTCATGCGTTAATCTCAGTTGTGCACGGAAACCTCATCCTGTCTTATTGGAATTCTCAGAATGTTAGAAACGTTTTCTGAAGATCTTAAAAGATGTGATCGAAAATTGATTTTGAGAATAGATATGAATTCACCCCCATATGACCTTCATACTAATAAACAGCCTAATGAATTTCATTCGTAAATTCTCTCTTTCCTCATGTCTTTCTGGCTGGCTTCAGTACTTTTCTGCTGTTCTTGGTCTTGTTTGTCTCGTTACTTTGCGTAACAACCGTAACCTTCTCATATTTGCAAGAGGTTTCCAGCTGTTCTGTCTATTTGTTGATCTGTTTGCAGTCATCTTCCAGAGATGTGATCCATAACACAACTAATCAGTTTTCTAGATAAGGAATAAGCATAGTAGAAAATTTTCCAGCAGACAACTGCTGACTTGTCGAAAGTAATTCTGTCGACTTTTAATGAGAACCGTTTAATTTATGTTGGTGAAGCCTAATAAATAAAATGAATTGGCTTGTGCTCTTTTATATCCTGATACTTAAGCTGCAAACAACTAAAGTTTAACATACCTTGTTCAAGGACTGCTATGAAGGGTTTCTTTTTGAAAGTAATATATACAATTTCTTCGAAAACGTTGACTAACCCTTTTTTCACCGTTATGTAATTTTACTTTTACATAGGATTTGCTTCATGTGAAGGCTACATCTTCATCAGTGAAACAACATACTACACAATTCTTTTATGAGTTATGGTCGGTGATGCATGTGAAAATGTCATTTTATAGAAACAAAGTGGTTGAAATACGTGAGACATTGAATTCATGGTGTTGTTACATCCTGTCTAACTCAGAAGATGTAGCAACACGATCTCTTACTTGAGTCACAAATACTCCCCATAATTTTGAAATACTTGATTCCATAGATAATGAACCAGTGTTATAAGTTTGAAGTTGCTTGTATGACTGGACCGAAATTACCAGTCTTTATCAAAATATGTGCTCCTGCAAGAATGCTTCAACATTGCCTCCATTTTCAGTTTTGATATCAGTAGTGGATAGTGGGTATAGGTGGAATCTAGGATGCGCATTTAGTCCTATTTTGGGCTCGTCATCATATTCAATGTATCCATTGCACAAGAAATGGCTATCGTGGATTGATGATCAAGTAGATACCGCTCTGGAGTTTAAAGGGATCGATTCGGGGTTCGGGTTTTAGTGGGAACAACATAGCCCAATGGTAGACAGGTACATTTAGCTGACGTTCCCGAGATTGGACGAAACGCGCTTCCTGGCAAAAGATGGTACCATAAAGACTTCATTTTGCTGAAATACATGGTATGTATTGATATATCACTTCTAAAATGTAGTATAATATGACAAAACTACCCATCATCAATACATGTCTGTAAACTTATCACAAAGTAAATCTACTTAAAATACTAAGCACAGTAACTATCCTTCAGCTGGAGTTAAGTGAAGCTAGACAAACAGATGAACAGATAACCTGGAACAAAAGAGTGTCGCATCAAGTCGCTACACTTTACATCCATATGCAAAGAAGAAATATCTGGAAAACAAATGACACAAAAATAGGCAAAAGCGTATCATGAGGCGGGAATAAATAGAAAACTTGTATAAATGAAAATAACAAAAAAGACAAATTGACGTGGAATTGACATATCCTGCTAACAGTCTTCAACTTTTGATTTCTGTCTCATTAACCCAAGTCAGGACAGTCTACATCTCCATACAGCCGACCTTCACTATTCATAATACTTTCAATTATTTTATGATACACATGACAGCTTAAGGCTAGTTTTTAAAAACCTGTTACCAAGTTTAATATAGATGCAGAACTTGGACACTGTGGTAGAATTTAATTCCATATTATATTTGTTTATTTAATTTATAACAGTGATGTAGTATTATTTACTTGACGACGTTCTGAGCATGAATTATTGCTCATAATCATATCAATGTAATCACACTACTTTTGACATCTTTTATAGTTTTGTCACCTCACATGAGTTGTTTTTATTGGTAGTAAAATTTTCCAAATCTTCGGTATAGGTGTTGCATTATTTCTATTACATGTGTTGAGTGTTGATTCGATGAACAAAGATTCAGTAATCAATCTCCCTCTCTACCTATTTATATCGGACTTGAGTACAGCGGTTTTATCCTACCTATCCTACTGTGTCGTTGTGTGTTAATGCATGCTTCGCAATAGCCGGGTTTTTCTAGATTACTTATCTTATTCAGGTCTGTCATTCTATATTTAGCTAAATTCCTATGTTCGGCTATTCTAACTGGGCCCGACCGGCTAGTATGAACAATATACTTGACATCATAGTCATTACCAACTTAGACAAACCTCTATTAACCATAACATACTACACAGATATTAACATTAAAACAAAAGTGATATAGATTTGCGATTGTCAAGCTGTGAGAATGAAATTGACGAGAGTAGTTCGCTAGTTACTTTTTCGTCTTTCTATATGATTGTGCCATATTGTGAATTGAATGTGAGCAAACTGTGATATAGTGAATAAAAGACTACGATTCCAACTATGAAATAAAAGGTAAGTACTTCTTCTGCGGAATCCGAAATCACATGGGAATTCTCCTCAGTCCTATATGGTTTTCATTTATTCAGTAGAGAACATTGTTTTGTGATGAAGGCCAGTATGACACTGATCAGGCTTCCACAGATGACTTAACTGATGACAAATTCCTCTCACCAAGATCTTAGTAGAGTTTGCGGCATTTGAAAATTACTTGGTGTCCTTTTATTCTCCACCTGAAGATTCCAAGTAATAAATATCGTGGAAAATCCTTGAACATCGTAACTTACCTCAATTTCTGTTACTTCTTTTAGTGTACCAACCTTCAGTAATTTACCAGATGGAACAATATCAAAACTAGCTGATCAACTCAATGAGGTAACCTATCGTCCAAATGAATACATTATACGTCAAGGTGCAAGAGGAGATAACTTTTATATCATAGCTGATGGTCACGTGAAGGTAACAATTTATCCAACATCAGAAAATGGAACGATTGACCGTTCGAAAGAACCTCAGTTTGTTCGAACACTAGGAAGAGGTGAATGGTTCGGTGAAAAGGCTTTAACCGGGTAATTTGATTGTATTTTTAAATTATGACTTTGTCGCATCATATTTATTTGTTAATTGTTGATATTCTCTTTTGTGAAAATAACAGTATATATGCAAAACAAACGTGACTGTTCTGGAGGGTTTCTTCAATGACGTTAGAATTCTGTAGTTTTACACTCATAATCAATATGATATGGATATAAACAACAAATTATGTTCGAAACATTCTTCGACGAATAACAAGCAGCATCTAATAACTAGACTAAAATGGGAACCTAAATAATGTTGTGAATCAAGGAAAATCGAACTATTTCGGTAAGAATACTCATGGTTATAGTATTAAGGAACAACTCTTAATGGTGATCATACTGACTGTTATAACTTCATGGTAACCTGGAATCACTGGTATTTCCTCTTAAACTGCAGAGGCAATAGCGATAACTAATAAGACAGTAGGGAGTTAATGATATTCGTTACACTGTTGTTACGACAACGTCGTACAAATATATACGTTTTTCAACGTAAAGAATGCAGTCCGATTTCTGCAATTGTTTTCCGTACACTTTTTAAGACTACTGTTAATCACTTTAACTAGTTATTATCACTTTTGAAATGAAATTCTACAGTCAGTTGAGACAAATGGATCATTCTAAGTAGACAGAAAAAATTTACGGTGAACCTTGATCAGAATTGCATTGGTTTAAGTTCCCACACTTTACAGCAGCATCCAAGAAACGACTCAATAAAAAAAGATATATCAAATTAGATGAAGGAGAATGGGAGAACAAATTCGGAAATGAAGTTTCACTAAAACGTTCAAGCTTTAGAAGATGTCAAAAAGTGAACACATTACCACCACTGTGATCAATTTTCAAACAACTCATCAAAGGTCTCCCTAACGAGGTTGTCCACACTTCCCTGCACGGTTCAGACCAACATTCAGAGGCTTCATTGGCTGGTTACACATCTTGATCTGGCCACCTCAAATCCTCTTCCAAACCATTCCAGCTTTCTCTAGTATGGCACATCGAGGTAGGGAGTGGCTTGGTATGCGAATTACATATCCAAGCCATCTTAGTTGATGAAGATTAACAACCCTATCAATCAACTTACCTGTCTTGCCTAGTACCCTTCACCTGACCTCTACATTGCTCATACGGTGATTCCACTAAAAGTGAACAACGCTACGAAGATATCTGTGATCGAAACCTTGTAGTCGCCTCATGTCTCCTAACTTTAACGGCCGTATCTCATAGCCATATAACAGGAGAGAAGCGATCGCAATGCAAAATAATCATTCTTTAATGGGTAGTCAGATCTCTTGTCAGTCATTGTCAGGGATGAATCAAGTTGGTAAATGTCAACCTAGCCTTCTCTGTCTTGCATGAGATTTCGTCAGCAACTAACTGATTTGGGCTAATGCAGCTTAACAGGTAGGTGAAGTGGTTAACGTATTCCACTACTTAACTCCGTATCGTTATACTGGAAGTTTATTGCAGCAGACCAGTCCTGCAGTATCATCCTAAATTTGATAAGTGTGAAACGCATGCCAAAAGTACACAGATTTATGGCCAACACGTTCAGACGACCCTGCATTTTGTCAACGTCTTCACCCAGCAAGAAAGTGTCATCAGTGTACCTTAAGTCAACCAGATGCCCTTCAGGAGGTAAATGAATTCATATGAAACCAGGCTTACGCAAAGTTATGTTCATTAGTACATATATAAAAAAATTAAAGGGAAGTGGTGTCTGCGCGTATCCCTGGCAGATATCACCAGTTGTTGTCAGTTCACTTGGCAACTCTTCACAAGCGCTTGAATGGCTGCATGAGTTTGATTACAGAGCTTTTATTAACCTTGTGTATTTGCTCTGTACTTGTTTCACACTAAGAAACTGACGTAACAACTCACAGTCGACAGTGTTAAATACCCTCTTAAGATCAGGAAATATAGTAAGAGTCAGTCACTAGTAAGCATGCATATGTGTCCAAAACCTGATGATGGGTGGAGATCTGGTCCATGCGCTCTTACCAGGTCTGAAGCCTGCGTGGTCTTCTCGAGTTTGCTCTTCTCGGGCTCCAGTTTAACATAGGACTACCATGAAAGCTATGGTCTTAGGAACAAATATTAGTCAATCTGATTCTCTCATGATTGTTACTAGAACACTTTTCTCATTTCTTATACACTGAAATAATTTGTACAGCAGGTCGATTTAATGGGACCACCCCTGATTCCCACACAGTTTCAGGTTCGAAACAGTCTTTCCAACTACGAGGATAGTTGAATGACCGACATCCACGTCCCACTTAGGTTCAGGCTGGATGTCGGACAACTGAAGCTATGCTATGGATCAGCTGTAGTGTTTTTCAAAATTTTCTGGGAGTTTATCAGCGTTCTAACCTTTTAAGTGATGGTTTCACTCACCATAGGTTTCTTCTCGCCGATATCCTTAACTAGAAAGCTTAAATAAGTGCAGGGTATAACTTAGTGCTGATGTCTTCTCCACTTCTCTCGCTCTCGTCACCCTTCACTCCTCATGGTCATTGCGATGACTCCTAGTCAGATGACGTTTAAGTTCCTTCTGCTCTTCATTTTTGCCAGAGCGTCAGTCAGGTTGTGGAAATCCGAAGACCTTTTATAAACTTTTAGAGTAGGTTATCAAATGTCCTTATCGCTGTTTTCACAGTAGAATTAATGTTACACCAGGTTTACTCAGGATAAGCATTGCTGTCACCTTCAGATAAATGCTTCGCTTTATTCTTCCTAAACACGTATTCCACGTCCTCATCTTCCTAATGGCCACAGATAGGCTTCACTGTCACCTGTCTCCTAATATCAATATGACGTAGACATACAATTGTCCGTACTAATGCATCACTGTAGTCCGAACACGTACTGTAAAAGAGCGAAAATCCTCTACCGACCCCCTCCGATGATAGTTAGTAGTATTGGGATCTATCTGTTCGAATCGTTGATTTGATGTCGGTGGACACTATATGAAATAGTGTCTCTTCTTATGCCAGAAGTTAGTGATGGCCAGTCGCAAGTGACTGTCAGAACAAAATTGCAGTATATGATCACCGTTGTCAGTTCGTTAGCATAGAATTCTATAGATACCTTCCACAAACTTTTCCGACCGGCTCACCTTCTCTACTTGAGTGCTGAAGTTGTCTGCTACTATGAAAAAATGTGGACGTTTTGCTTTACATGGTAAAACTGACAGCTTATAACAGAATTTATCTTTTAGATCATCCGAATCGCACTCGATAAGTGCGCAAACGGAGATCATGAATAGGCATCAGCTAGTTTCATGTTCCTTCCTATTTCTTACGAATCCATTCAGTCGAACGGCACATAGATAGCTGTTGACTGAAATTCAGTCGGCAAATATAATTTCCACTCAACAGCCTAATGCCACGATTATGGCAGAGAGTTCACTAGGTAAATTTGATAACCATACTTTACTCCTATAAACGTGTCTCAGGAAAATAGCATATATCCATGGCTCCAGATTTCGACATTTCTGGTGAGTGATGCCTTCTGTCCGATTTGGCATTGATTTCGGACATTGAAGAATCCAGAAAAGAAGCGACAGTGATGTCTTAGGAGACTGGAAATGGTGTTTTCATGGCTTGGATCACTGATAATGGTCACAGAGCGAGAGGTTGTGGAAGTTGTAAGAGGTTTAATATTGGTATCAGTAAGTGAAAGCGAATTAGGGGATACAAATATTACCTCAAGTGTTTTTATCTTGCCAAAAACCTTTGTTAACCCTTACATAATAAGTTTTTACCATATTACTTAAATGCCCTTTTTTTTAACTCAGTAAACCTGAAGAGATATTTTACTACAGTAATAGGTATACAAGTGGATATGGTACTGTTTTCACACTGCATTTTTCGAAGAAGAAACAACCTATATACAAATGTAAACTCTTAGATTAAAGGACAAAAACTCAACTGCAGGTTAATTCATGATAACTCGCCTATTTAGGCTGAATTTTAGGTCAGTAGGTCAATTTATAACTGTAACGAGATAACGGTGCCTTCCATAATGAATCACATTGTAGTAGTTGCTGGTAATCGAGGGTACTTTTGTATTATTCTGATGGCTTTATCATACCAATAATGGTGGGTAACAGAGGAGATTAGGGTTTTTAGTGCAGAACTGTATTTCAACATCAATGTACTTAAACTCATCAATTATAAACAAGAAAAAATGTCTCACGGAAATTCAAAAGTTAAACAGGATACGTAAAGTATGTGACTAGTGTTCACGAATTTTTGACCGGTTGATTAACTTATAAAGCGGAGGCAAATATTGTCTCGCTGCTATCTTACGGTTGCGGTGTCGGATAAAGTGATCTTTTAGACTTCTGATATGACATACGATCAACAACTTGGTAGCGGGTGACCACACAATACTAGAAAAGCTGAGTGATATCTATCTGAACAAGCAAATATTCCACTCCGTAAAACAGTTGCTTTTACATTCTACTGATAGATAAATGAGTCATCGGTTCAAGAGTTCAAATTCGCATAATTTTTGCCGCTCGGGTAATAAATTAGCATAGAAAACCTATGCACATGAGATCGTAGGAAGATACTGTACTCCTCAAGAATATCCCTAATGTAGGAACACTGTCATTAACAAGATGGTCTACCGGTGCACATATAATTTATAATAAAACTGAAATATAAAACTAACTTTCAAAATATTTCAGCTTCATTGCTATCCTATATTTAGAACTGTTTCATTCCGAAAAGAGTTTATCCTTACAGAACTAAATTTACTTCTTTTATATACTTAAGCATGAAACTGAGTTAGAAAATATGTTTATTTCAATGTAAGCACTCAGACTGAATAACAGCAGTCAGTTAGTAAATATCAGCATTCATCTTTGCATTACCGTGTAAGAGTTCAAGTTGCCGCATCTCATATCATTATAACAAAATAAACTAAAACTCCACCTACCCATATGGCCCTGATCCACAATCAGGGATATAATGAACTGATTCGACACAGCATTGCACGTTGGAGTAGGCGATGATTACACATGTGTAACTTATGTCCTAGCCACCTTAACTGATGACGATTTACAGCTTCATCAACTGATCGATCTCTCTTACCTCAGAATTTACGTTCAGCTGCTGCATTACTTACATGGTGGCTTTACGATACATACCCAGTGTTACGAAGGTAATGATCTTTGGACATCTGGAGCCCTCTTGCTCTCTGTTCTTAGTAGTTATGCTTCACAACCACACAGTCGTGTAAATATAAGTATTGCGCATTATACTCGATCCTGAACACATAACTGGATATCCGTCCCGAGCCATATGTCCAGTAATTTGGAGAAAGTGAAGACGGACTTTTGTATCCGTGCCTAGATTGATCAGATAAACTACCCATAATAGCCGATTTAACTACTGTAAGTAAGTGAAGTGTTTAGGATTTTCCACTGTTTCATTCTCTACTGTCAGAAAATTTATCAACGCAAACCAGCTTTGAAGCACCAAGTCAAACTTCCGTATTGAAAACTGCATTCTAAACAATCTCGGGCGATCAATTTACGTGTCTATAAAAGTCTTCATCTTGCTGGTATCTTCATGTAATGAGACTATGTCATCTGCCTACTCTAGGCTTACCAAAGAGACCGACTGTTGCCTGTTAAGTTAGAGTCGAAGAGGAAAGCCTCTATAGACACATGTGATAAAGTTGAACTGAAATGGAGAGAAAACATATCCTTCGCAGAAATCGGTCTGCGTAGATAACTCAATACCTCACTATATACTCTGACATGATCACGCTTTTTCAGTTATAAAGCCTGCAGCAACAAGATGTACTTACTCAGAACCTCTTTCAACGAGAGGGCCATAAACTCTCTTGGTCAGTATGCTCAGTGGCACCTTCAAGTTATGATATACAGCTAATGTCAGACATCGATAAGTTCCTTCGTAATCCGAAATATTGTGGATACACCCAAGACCATAATTAACCGCTTCACCAACCCAACATAGCCTGCTGGCTGCCCTCGTTTCAGGTTATGTATTGCCTTCATGACTAGTGAAGGAGTTGAAGGCACCACCTCTATACTCTGTAGAAAAGAAGACTGGATAGCAGGATACAAAAGAGTAGTTGGAGACTAGCTGAACTGTTTCTAGTTGTGTTCCACCATCTTTGAAATCACCTCTCCTGCAAGTGAATTGCCAGCCTATCCTGGAGCTTTATCATACTAAATGGTAGTGTAGTCTTCATTACTCTTCTGTAATAAACAGACTATATCCAATCTCAAGTAATGGAGATTTTAGACTATAATGCATCTGTTGACTCTTTTAGTGTCTGTGTGATGATGCCATTTCTCTTTCATTGCTCTCATCGGAAAAACTGACAATATTTATATAAGTAGGGGAATTGTAGTGATCGATCCCATTTGATTGAAACAGCTTTGACTTTCTTGATAGCGTCAGGTGTAGTCTTTACTATCAAGGGAAGGGAAACGATATATGTCAATACACAAGCCGTTATTTCAGATGAGTATTGTTAATTTATGATCAACCTTTAAACTATTAGATTCGATCTGTTTGGTTCATTCATACAGAAGAGGTTTAGAAATTTTCTCGTCAACTTACTCTATAACTATAGCTTTTTTTTAAAGAGTGAGTTACTTTTCTAGGTGTAATACATCAGATAAGGTTACTCAAAAACGAAATGAAATCAAACAGCTATCAAACAAAGTACTAAAAAGAGACGAAGTGTTCTGACCTCTTTGACTTCAGCGGCTTTACAATGACTTTTCAGTCGACAGATCTGCACTTTCACTCAGTAACAAATGGATTAGATTGTGATCTATGAAGTAAGATAGTAAACTTTGTTAAATTTGTCCTCTGATGTAAAATGAATTTCTTTCTTTTTTCTTTTATTGTGTGTTATATGTAGTGATAACTTACGCACAGCCAATATAATTGCAACTGGAGATGAAGCAGTAACATGTCTCTCTTTAGATCTTGAGTAAGTTTTTATTTTCTTCTTTCATATGTGGCTGTTGATTGGTTCAAACCTTCCCAGTTATTGTTCACTTTCTGATTCTTTATAAATTGAGAGGAATAATGTACAGTCCAAACCTCACTGCAACTATTTAGTCATCTGGAACCTAAAGTTAACGTAACGAGTGCAGTATCTTCAACATAGATATGAATCTTAGCAGGAGTATGTTCTTTCACAAGGTCCTACAGATTTAAAAAAGTTCAACGCAAACAATTTAGTTTCATAACTGTTTGTTAGTGATGTTATAACCCGAATAAACCGATACGTGTGGATGGATATCACAGGCTTGGACTGACAACTTCGACACTGTCATTTGACTCTGATTATTCGTGCATCTTACCGTCTGAATGTCATTGTGCTTGCTGAGCATTACCAGTACCTACAAATCACCAACTAAATTGAAATCAAGAAATTTTTTCGATCTTTAAACTATCAATCTTTTTTTCCCCTCCTACTATACGATAGTAGACAATGACGAATGCACAATATCCTTATATTACATGCCGTTTGAGCATTACACATACATAGCTAAATCGTACACGGCTGAATGATGTGTTAGCTAAAAGTTTTATAAGCTGAACCATATAGTCGCAATACAACAAAATAATTCTTAAATAAAATGCTTTTTAAAATAAGTAAAATAAAACGGTTGATATTGATTACTTGGGGTGCCTATTTTTATTTATTTGGCCCTTTAGGACGGCTGAAATAAGCTATCAGCTAATTTCGGTCTGCATTATAATTCAATTGGTGTTGTGTAATCTCATTTCATAGAGATTGAAAACATCAGCATTACCGTAAGGATAAATGTCCAAAATTTTCTACATGAGTCATATGTCTTTTCCAGTAAATAAAACGGAAATATCTTTTATATGCTTAATATCGTCACAAGGCCTCAATTGTACACTTGTATATGATCGTACAGAGTCTGAGTCGTCATCTTAGATGCTTCAAGTGAAATTTATTGAAACTGAATTACTACGACACTTTCTCAACAATAATGAGTGGTACATTTCAAAATGGCGAAATGTAATGAATATACGTATCAAGCTTGAATCTATCCCTCATATCCAGTATGCTGAAGTTAGTGGTTTTCAAATCACATTATCAACCATTCTGTTAACAGTATGAACCAAAATATTGTCTACCTGGGTGTCGGGCTCTTCGAACGATAACTGATTATTCAATACAAAATGCACGCTTCACCTCCTCCCCCCCTCCCATCAATGAATCTCATATATGACTACCTACAAAATAACAAAGCTCTCAACTTTTGAAATGAGGTATATCATAGAATTCAATGACGGTAAGCTTTTGCATACATCAGAGAAAAATAATGGTTTTCGAAGTAAATTTCTTTCAAAACATTACTAAAAACACTTTCAGTAGGCTAACATGAATAAATTATTAAAACTACTCTTAGTCCTGTATATTTTGATTGCTAGATCATACAATCTACTGATTGGGGATCTGGATGGATTGAAGCGACGCTATTCTCAAGTAAAGCCAGAAGAAATAAAGTGAGTTTTCAGAATACAAAGACTTGAAAAATGAACACTAACAAAGAACTTAAATATAGGCTAGTGGATTAATTGTGTTCACTTTTTGTATGCTTACTTGAATTATGCCAGTAGTATAAATATTGACCCGAAAATTGATGGGTCATAAATTTTCCGAAGTTGCGAAGTGACCCCAAATGCTTGTTAAATGCATGTTGTTGTTAATTTGTAGCTCCCTTTGTACTAGTTCAAGTGTTGCCGGGGTGTTTGGGTGTATTTTCCTAAACAGTGTACCTAGGAGTTTTATCGAATACTCTGTGAATTAACTTTTTAGGTGTTTATTTAAACTATCAGAAAAGATCTGAACGATAGTAAGTGTATTTCATTTTCCAGACCTAATAAAAACTCATTTTCCACTTCCCAATACACTATGAAAAGTTTTCGGGACGAAAATAAGTTGGCGAAAAGTCGAATACAAACTGCCTACCATCTGTTTTCACTGCCTTTCATTCAAATTTCATTCTAGTAAGAAAACGTAGGAAAAAGTAGGTATCCAGCCACAAGCTAAAACATACGTCACTGTGTGTTGCTCGTAGCCACTATTTGCTGAGACGTGAAAATGATTATGATGTATTCAGCAACAATAAAGAAACCGAGCAATATGTTATATCTGTATGGAAACAATAATTAGGGCTCAAGATCACTTGAAGTAAGTTTTTTCTCCTTTAAAAAGGCAAAGGAAATTTTTAATTTCTTTTGCTGGAAATAAAGTCTTTGGATGCATATTCAGAGAGTATACAACTTTGTCAGCTGTGTGTAACTGATATAGCTATCTAGTCGTCAGTGCTTAGCACTGATCAAATTCCACCGACCAAAACCGTAATGTTTCTTTTAAGCTAAGCAATGCGATGCCGGGATATACTGCATTTTCATATAGGCTGTTAGCAACCTGTGGGTAGGATACCAACAGCCTAGGGTTCGCGCTTGTTGGCACTCATCAGTAAGGCTTATATGCATTAATGAGCACACTCATATTCATTCAGTGATTCAGACCTGTATTACCTAGTGCTGAAGTTAGAGACTCTACAATTAGGCTATTCCAGATCCGACTAAATCCCTATTAGACCACGTTATGTACATGACAGGCAAGAAACTTAGATTTAAGGTTCCATACCTACAGACTACTAGCACTTATATGGAGCATGTTTAAACCATCTTCAGTTAGCTGTGAAACATCCAAAACCTCATTTTAGTTTCTGTGAATTTACTGTAAGTAGGAGTGTTTGAATATCTTACAAAACATTAACAACATATATATGTATGCAAACGATTATTTATATTCAAATGAACGTTGACTAACTGACTAGCATTACTAGTATCAATTCTGAAAGTAGGAAAATCATTAAATGGTTATTTTGTGAAACTAGTGACTCATAGTGCACGCAAAATGATGATGACAGAAGTGCAAAAAATAAGTCAGAAGGAGCTACTTTTTGACACAAAAAATGATATTAAAAGACGATGGAAGATAGACTTCTGACAGTAGTTGATAAATACGTTGCACAAACAAAGAATGAAGAAGATCCGAAACGAAAAATAATATATATCGAGACTGACAGTAAAGTAATAAGGTGAACGAGTAAGATTATCATTTTGATTCTCTGAGATAGCCGTGATTAGGCACATTTATATTGATATTGCTTGATGAGGATGAAATTATTTGGATAATGGGTTGGGATGAGAAAACCTGACTGAGCAGCCAATGTGAAGACGAGCGGATAGTTATGCATCACCTATTCTTGTAGAAGTCAAGAAGAAGCCAATTAGTAACTGATTCTTGTAGCTCAGTTGGTAGAACGCCACGCTGGTATCCTGGAGTCGACGGGGACGAATCCGTCCACCACCCAAATTTCCATTTCACCTTCACTCGTCTCCCAGTATGAAAATAGAAGAGTTTAGGTGTCAGACTTGTAAGACTTCGCTCTTACTGAGTTTTGATTGATATGTCTAGTTTGCTGAATTGAGTTTGATTGCTAGGCAATGAGTCACACATATTGTGCGAGTGTTAATGATACTACTTGGCTGCCGAGACCTTAGTAAGTGTAGCTAGATTCAACCGAGGACTGTTCGGTTGAAAACCACGTTACTGGGAAAACAGTCATCACTTATAATGTAAGACATTAAAAAAGGTAACCACGTAGTGAGAAAGAGAATGTTCACTAACGGAGATGAAATTAAGATAAAGTCACTGTAAAACGTAACATCTTTACTGCGAATTGTTCTTTGCTTTGATATCATAACTAAACAATACCCTAATTTAAGGAGTGTTTTTGTTTTGTAATTGACAAAAGAAGGATTATCATATTGACTATCTGAGATAGCTGTGGTTTGTCAGGCTTGTTTGTATTGATACTGGATGATGACTAAAGTTGAAAAGAAAGTTCGGACCGTGGCGGGATTCGAACCAGCTCGTAGCTCCGTTGGTAGACTAATGAGGCAGTAATCCGATGATTGATGGTCTGAATACGGCCGCGGTCCAAATTTTCTTTTCACCTTCAATCACCACCCAGTATCAAAACAAAGGATTACTGAAATCAAATACTCTCAAAAAATTAATCCCGGCTCTCTTTAGATTTATGTAACACTAAAAATAAACAACGAATCTAAGCTTCATCGACTGACTGCATTGTTGCCATTATGAGTTGTGGGAAAATGGATCAACATTCTGCTAGCAATCAGAAAACATCCTGCCGAAGAGTCTATGGAATTTTCCTCTGTTATACTAGCAATCTTGTATACCTTCAGTCTAGATCTAATCTAAGAATATACTTGGATGAATTAACTTTATGACTTTCTGTATTTCAGTCTTTTAGCCAAGGCAGTAAAATGAAGAGTTCAGCTTACGTAATAGAGTTGACAGTCACGTATTATTCATATCACTGAGTGTTCACTATCTTCAGAAAAGAATGAATATAGTATCACTGTGAACTCTTTAAAGTTTATAAACAAAACAATAATCGCTGTTCAGGATAATTTCGTGCTACAAAAAAGCACTGAGACTATGTAACCATCAAATAAGTTTTGTACAAAACGAGTTATGAATATTTTGAAATAAACAAAGATTGTACACGATATGACAATCCTAACGATATTCTGCACATTTACTGTACCATATACTTGAGTTTACATGAGATTAACTTTCTTTATTTATTCAGACTACTTCATAAGTGTTACTTCACAAAAAATCTAATATTTTTCATAAGCATTTGTAAATAACTCCTTGTGGACTAAACGGCACTTAGATGCTCGATATACTTCATTATTTGTGACTGCTGTGTTGTTTTTTCAACTTTAGACCAGTGTACAAATTTTGAATGGATCCCCATAGTCCATAATGCTGATAATTTTATTTTGTTGTCGTTATTACTCAAACGAAAGCTAAGTCCAGTTGCTCCTTCTTTGAGTATTAGGGACAGTTTCATCAGGTTGTTCTTAAACTTTTGTTTTCAAGCTCGTTACATTTCTCTCGTTCTCTGTATTGGTAGTTTTCTGCTTGTTTACTTACTTAAACTGATTCAATTTCGAGCTGTGGAGTACTAGGATGAGCTGTGTTTTGAATGATTTTGAAGCAGTAGGAATTCTGTCTTGCCTTCAATTTGAGATTATCACACAAAAGGTTTCATTGTTCATTTTTTGCATCTCTCGTTGTCTTTCCTTCAAAGCTTTCTGCATTCTCAAAAGGAGTTCTTGTTTCTTCTGATCAGCGAACCACACAAAGTTCTCATTTGATGACTTCTTAATGATTGATTCATATTTGTTATCTAGGTCGATATCTATGCTAATTTCATACTCAACTGGCGGTTAGGATTCCTGTTTATTATCCAGTAGGGCAGCGTTTCATTCTATGCGCGGTAGGGACTTTTAATGCTAAGAACTCCAAACAGCATTAAAATTGTTGGGAATAAAGTGGTTATTATTACTAATGCAGCAGCTGCGGGAATTTTTTCCGATAACCTCAAAGCTTTTTGACAAATTTCTGGCCATACTAATGAACGTGTTAGGAAGTAAGCGATTCCGTCCCTCATTGCCATGTTATTTCTGTAAATCGCGTTGCTGAGTAGTATCGTGAATTCGTTCAATATAATAATTGCTGTATTCCTTCAACCTGTTTTATGTTTGAATTTATTCTTTATTCCTTGATAACTGAATCTACATGGGATTTCCTAGAGAAATTTGCTAGATTAAAAAAAACACTTATTCGAAGCTCCTTCCTTAAGTTTTTCTCTTTTACTGAGGTTATTTTGGTGTATTAAAGCAATACCGCTTTATTTATTTCACTTGACTCCCGATGGAGTATTTGGCTGCGGTTTTCTTTATAAAGCTTACTGGGTTACCATTCATTTTCTGACAATATTCCATGACTTGCGCACATTTCAGTAAGCTGATGTATGTTGAGATCATTCTTTGCTGAAGATCTAGTGCAAATAGCTGTGACCTCCAACTAAAGAGGTGTTGCAGTCTTTATAGACACTACAGTTCCGTCTGAATATTCAAACAAATTTCCTGACGTAAACGGTAAAGGAAACCAACTTGTGATTCCCTATTGATTGTAGCAGATATGTTATGGAATGTACTGACTATATTTATCCTAATAAAAACACACTATTTTCAGATCGAATTATCAAAAATGTAGACTGTAATACTATAGCAGTGTTCAGTGTTTCATCTCAAAAATTTCTTTTTAGATTAGGAGAATTTAAAACAGAATATCAAAATATACAATTAGATGATTTACAAATTATTTCTACTTTGGGTGCTGGAGGATTCGGTCGTGTTGAACTTGTGAGTAATATTCTGAATAAAAATGATTCAATTTTTAATGTATACTGCTGAATCCCTTCTAGAAAACATCGAATTATTTCAGAGATGGGTCAAATGTCAACGATACCTCTACAATTTTCAAAAAACAACAAATAGATTCACAGGAATTTTATTTATTGCATTTTATGTTTTCAAGTTGTTATTCATCATAGACTGACACCAGTTGGAGGAACAAATGGAGCCTAGGATCACTGGACAGCTGTTTCGTCCCGCTTGTATAGGACTCCTCAGCAGTGCGCACCCACGACCCCGCCAGGGGTAGAACTCATGACCTTCGGGTTCCGCGGCCGGCACATTACCATTGAGCCAGTGGGTCAGAATCCAATCGCTCATATTTCCAACTTCTGTTAACTCACGATATAGTGCAACCGCCACCCAATGTCATCGTTGAGTAACTGTCCTCACGACCGGTTCAATTGAATTTTGAGGGAGTTGTGGGGACTAGCTTCAAGAGGCAGTCCTGAAGTTCCAGTGAGAAGTCGTGACCGGTGGGGGCAAAGCCTGATGGTTGTGAAGACAGTTACTCAACGATGACATTGGGTGACGGTTGCACTATATCGTGAGTTAACAGAAGTTGGAAATATGGGGCGATTGGATTCTGACCCACTGGCTCAATGGTAATGTGCCGGCCGCGGAACCCGAAGGTCATGGGTTCTACCCCTGGCGGGTCGTGGGTGCGCACTGCTGAGAAGTCTTAAACAAGCGGGACGAAACAGCTGTCCAGTGCTCCTAGGCTCCATTTGTTCCTCCAACTGGTGTCAGTCTATGATGAATAACAACTTGAAATATTTCCAAATCCCCACAACTCCCTCAAAATTCTGTTTTATTAAATTCATATTTGAAAAAATATTCATGTTTGGTCTTAAGGAGCAGTAAATTTGTAATGTGCTTTGGATAAAAACCTAAGGAAATGATAAAAAGTGGTCCAGCCAAGAGACTTTTTTCTTTGACTTCATTCACTAAGTTGAACAATTGCAATCATGTACAGCTTTTGGTAAGAATGTGCAATTTGTTTCCTATTTGAAAGTAGTTAGTTAAGCACAGCAAAAAGCAAAATAACTAAAAGGAATGTAATATCGTTCTCATCAATAAAGAGGTGGCTATCGTGCTTCAGTGGCCCAGCAGATAACGCTTTGGCGTTTGAAGAGATGGGTATGAGGTTCAAGTCTCAGCAGGAATAACATCATTCATTGTGGTGCAGACGAAGCCAGTTGATGAGTCCCAGATAGGACAAAACGTGCATCTTAGATTCCTCTGCTAACCACAACCAAGTAAATTATCGTAATTAATATTCGGGCAATATCGAGCCACCCACATAGGGACCTATATACCAACAAAGGTCAGACACTTCGATCCAGGATAACAACGGAGAATTACTACTATGTCAACAAATAGTAAATTAATAAAAGTGTTTATAAGTGGTATTCATCATGCACTGACATCAGTTGGGGAACCGTTGAAATTTTGGGAGCACTGGACACCTGTTTCGTCTTAGTATGGGATTTCTCAGCAGTACGCACCCAAGACCCCGCCGGGCAGGGGTCGAATTCAGGACCTTCAGGTTTCACGGCGAATACGTCAATCATTCAATCATTGGGTCGGTTTCCAGTGGTTCACAATTTCTAACCTGTGGGGCCAACCAGTCGGAAGTGAAGTTGATGCTAACTGAAGACCTTGGGAGATAGTCACGCCATGTCGTGAACTGACACTAGTAGGAAATTGTGAACCACCGCGAACCGACCCAGTGACTGAGTGGTTAACGCTTTTGCCGTGAAACCCGAAGGTCCTGAGTTCTATTCCTGGCCGGGTCGTGAGCGCGTACTGCTGAGGAGTCCTATACTAGGACGAAACGGCTGTTCAGTGCTCCCAGGTTTCCAATGGTTCCCCAACTGATATCAGTCCACGGTGAATACTACTTCTAAATTCAAAAAATCCTCATTCACGACAAGATACTTAATGAATAAATTATCACTGTGAGTACAGCAACAAATAATTGTTTATATTATATAAAAAATAAATAGGATGGAAGAATTAACAGGAGGGAGTGTTCTGAAACGCTAAAAATTAAAACCCTGAAAAGAAAAGGGTTGAACAAGTCTCTCTTGTATGTAAAGCTCCTTTTTTCCTATTTGAATTACCAAAGTTTCAGAGATACAAAACAGGTGAATGCGGAATGGCTTTGGCGCGTCTGTTCTCACTTTTTAAACAACTTTATATTAGGAGGTTTCTGTTGAAACTGAATGACCAGTTTCAACAAGGTGTTCAATTATCGTACTTGTTATAAGTCTGCTGTTGCCTCTTTGTAGCAACGAGGGATAGTGTTCTTGAACCCTTTTAGATAAGACTCGCACCAAATTACCGGTATACCTAGCGCCACAGGAACAGGTGAACTGATATTCAGACATAGACATGACCATATACGAGATATAATCCTTCAAATATTTACTAAGCAAAGACTGACTACAGAACACTATTGTGTCAATTGCTGCAAAGAAATTTCTCTTCAGAGTGTCAGCAGTTATACATTTTTGAAGTCAAGGTTCATATTTAACATCATTTTTGATACGAAAATCGAGTTAAATCTTGGATGTTTCAGTCTGGTGTTTTTACCTTTGACCCTAGGTAAATATTCGTTTTCGATCAAACGTTTTCCTAGAATGTATACCTCCACTTATAGCAGCTGGGCTTCAAATTCATCAGACGGAAGTAGCAAGGGAAATAATTAAATTTCTTTTCTGACCAATAAGTTATTTTGACTGCCGCACTGAACTGCAACCTTTCACCTTAGGTCACTTTGACTGAATAATATCATAGGTGAAAAACACTGAAGATCACATATTCCTATCTCAATGACATAATGCATAAACTGGTGATTTCCCTTTTCACCACCTCTTATCAGAAAGTAAACGTAGTTCGAATCACAACGAAACCTAATTATGACAACAATGTAAGCAGACTGACTGTTAGAGAATTCACATGAAGATACAAGAGGAAATGGAAGATTAGATTGTTGTTAATCATCGAAAACGCTTCATGAGACAATCCAATAGTCAAGACACATTTTGTTGAATATAACTCAATGATTCATTCGTAGTAAATGATTACCATAAAAAAAAGAAGAGTTGATCATTCTATGCATCACTATGTCGTGTTCACATTTGGAATGTCATTTTTGCAAAGATTTGTTTGAATTAAAGTAAACTAGGCATACTTAGTAGTTCCCATCCTAGATTGGTTGCATTCTTCAACATTCATTTTTCACCGCAAAGAATTCAAAGATACTTCCATATTTAAGAAAATGCATGTAACATGAGACTTTTTAATTTTTATTTAGAACGAGACATATAAGTGACAAATACTGTTTTCAATGAGATCCTCTTCAGGCTTTACTCTAATACAAATAGCTTTATATATATATATATATATATATATATATATATATATATTATCAAACGAATCATGTAGATTTGTCGGTTGATGTGATGTGTTTTAAAATAACGATGGTGATAATAATATAAATAATAATAATAATGATACAAGTGATAACGTTGACTAAAGCACATTATACTCTACATTACATGTGCTTTAGTCAACGTTATCACTTGTATCATTATTACTACTATTTGTATTATTATCACCATCGTTATTTACATGATGGGAATTTTTTATTTAAAGATTTGCGATTTGCTTCAAGAAACTGATTATGTAACTGTTGTTCATCCAGTAGATAATTTGTCTACATAAACTCCTTGCAAAGCTACTCAACCAGTTCTTAGCTAATTTTGTAATTATCATATTTGACTGTAATTATAAGCGACATAGTTGAAAGGAAACTGTTTGATAATTTCCACTATTCCATTTTCCTATTGTAGCAGTAAAAGTAGACTAACTAACGCAAGAATTCAAGACATTAGATTTTATTAAGGTACTTTCGAGGATAAGCACTGGAGTAATAGCATATGTGGACAAAAGGAACCTGCTTCACTCATTAGTTGCTAATTTATTCTGTGGTCATGTTTCTAGACTTTTCAGATTGAAGTGAAGTGTGTGGATAGATAATCAATTAATGGAATGGGGGTCATCTAACAACTAGAACATTTTAGTTCGTTGCGGAGGTATGCAGTTGCCATTAGGAACCAAAACACTATACTTATATGACCTGCCTCAAAGTTACAGAATTTCATATTTACCAGTCTCCTTGGAATATAGGATCATTAGTTTTAAACAAATGATTTCCAAAGGCTACTTCAGAACTTACCAGTCACAAGATTCATGGTTATAATTAAGACTTTACGCTATAGATTAAGTAATTTTAACATTCGAGCATTATTTATTGTTTTTTTCAATTATCTGTACAGGTCTGTGTAGATGGTGATAAGACAAAAACATATGCTTTGAAAAAAATGAAAAAACAGCATATAGTTGAAACTAAACAGGAGGAACATGTGATGAATGAACGTAATATCATGCTACATACTGACTCCCCTTTCATTGTACGGTGAGTTCAATTAGTTGTAGACGTTAATCTACTGTTTGAAATACACTGAAAGTAGGGGAAACATACATTTTAGTTTTCTTCGTAATGACTAAAAAATGTTATACAACTCTTTGCAAGACATTTATCAGCATCATAATTAGTAGTCAGCGGGGACTGATTGATTTTCAGGTATTTTTCATTGTGAACTAACATCAAGCAGGAAAAATGTGGTACGAAATTTAGGCGTTATATAAGCTCAGGTAAATTGTGAACGATACTGCTGAAGGCTCACAGTAGTCAGAAAAATCTTATCGCAGTAACAACAATAATAATAAAAGACAATTTTAATGGTATTGAGGGAAACAGGACGGAGAAGAAAGGAACAAATGTTTATTATCAACATCTCGTACAGTAGTCATGAAATATGGTACACCTTGCAGTAAGACAGTCATCTGCATAATATGCTTCATTTCCTCTTCTACTTCTGTCTTGATTGGCTCTTCATACGCTTGCATTATCTCCTGCATTTCTCTTGGCGGAATCTTTACCTATTGTAGGTAATTCCCTATGATTTCTGCCACCCTCCGAACATATACTACCTATGTCCATTTTGATCAGCAACGCCCACTACAGTAGTAGTAGTGTGAGTAGTAGTAGTAGTAGTAGTGGAAGCATCAAAGATTTAACTACTTTTGTACTTGTAATTCAAAACAATTTAGATCCATTAATGTTACTTCCTGGGATCTTTTACTGAGAGCATCCCAGGGATATATTGTATATCGTAGCACTTTTTACTCAACTAATAGACGTGACCTGTTGAGTCTTAAAGAATTTTGAAACGTTTTTGTTCAACTAAAATCTAGTTATTACATTTTTAGCTTGCATATTGTTTCTCTTTTCAATATTAGATTATGTAAAACATTCAAAGACAAAAAATATCTTTATCTACTTCTTGAAGTATGTCTGGGTGGTGAACTGTGGTCACTGTTAAAAGAAAAGTAAGTCAACATTGTTCTGAATGACTCCATAAATAATTCAAATGAGTGAGGTTGTTTCATTCAAACACCATATTCTTACCATATATCACTGAATCAGAAAACTTTATGATGATTATATTTTGCTTACTGTGAAGAATATTTGCTACCCAAAAGTTATGTAGAGCCAAAGAACAATTCACATTCTACAGTGAAGATAGAAGTTACAAGTAAACCTCTTGTTGAAATATGCTACTGTTATTTTGATATACTTTATGTATTCAAATCAAACCTTGTAGTCTTTTTAAGATTTTTAAGGTTACCTTGAGTAGATTCAGGTAGGCTTCACACTATTTACCTTGAACTCACTAAACCTTATCATAACCGTTTCATAACTGAACAAAGGTGTTTCAAGCAACTGATGGGTACCCTTTTATAATTCAGACAGCCTACTAATCATGTTCTTATTTTTACCGTCAAAGAAAAAAGTAACTGATAAGCGATGTTGTCGGCTACATAAAGTTAACATTTATTTATACTCGTCAGTAGCATAAATGACGCAACTCCTCTCCACGAATTGCTAACGCTAGTTAGTGAATCAAAATGATGCGAATTACACTCCAAAGTCTTCAGAAGGCAAAATAGTTAATACGAAACTTAAAGGTTTATCATACTCTAGATTGAGGACTTAGGAATACTTGTTGTGAAATGATTTTATCATATGTCGTAATCGTCTCAGGAAATTCAAACCATAAACGCTTATAATATTTCTTAGTGTCACTGAAAGTTAATGACTCCTAAGACTACAGATGATATAAAACTAGATTACAGAATTGATCAACTTTCAAGAATATAAATAAGACGGATTATCCTAATTAGTCCAAAGCTTATACTACTACCTATAAAAATAAGTAGGTCAAAAATAAATGTAAAATAAACAAGTGATTAGGCTCAATAAAGCCAAAGAATCAGTCTGTAACTAAACTTTGAACTCGAAATTCTATAACATTGCATGTATTCAGACCTATTTTAGGATATTCTATTGCGAAATTATTACTGTTAGTTCACAAGGCTAAACCCTGAGGATTAACATTCTCTATCGTCAGATAATTCATGATGTAAAACTATCTTAATACGATGTTGTTAAGTGAGAGTTATCTAAAGTATCAGCTGGGATGAAGTCATAGACTGAGTACTTTCATGGAAGCCTCAAACAACATAGCTCAGTGCCATTCAACAGAAAATAGACAATTTAAATGAATTGAGAATTTTATTAGCGTCTATATATTAAGAGGTGAAATTCTATTACTAAGTTAAATCAGCTAGTGAACACCTTGAAACCGATAAGAAATAAACAACTGTTTTATGTACATTATTGACAAAATCATTTGAATTATCTGGTAACTTTTCTTATTTTCTGGAGATCCTTGGTTCACACTTATAGGTGATTTTATCTGCTTTCAAAATAATAGACTGAACAGTTCGGTGACAATATACAGGAATAAATTTCTTATACTTTACGGCATCTTGTCACATATCAATATATTCTGTCTAAAACTGATGATAAACATTTAAAATAATTCTGCATAGTCTAAGCAAGTGGATAAAGTTTAAAATATGGATAAAATAAAAACTTCTGAATTCATACAAAACAACGTAAGAACTATTTAGTAGAGTTTGAAGATAGAATGGTGTAGTCAAGATTTTGCAGACAGAGGGTCAGAAATCCTCCACAACATTATCAAAAATAACACTGGTCACTTACAAAGGATGACACTGGAACCTGGGGTAATTTTTAATCATAGGATAACATTTACTTTATTTCAGGGAAAGAATTACCATCTTGTTTACTCTAAACTTTTAAAATTTCAAAAAAGATAAATTTAGTGGCTACTATCACCTAGAGATTGTGGCATACATTCCTCTGGAAAGTTGGCAAAATCTGAGAATGAATTTTATTCTTAATCCCTCCCAATACATCTATTATTTGAAAACTAATTTTGAAATCTATGTTATGAGATGCACCCAACACATGCAATAGAAATGACACAACACTCATACCAGAGATACGGAAAAGTTTACTACCAATAAAAACAACTCATGTGAGGTGACAAAACTATAAAAAGAGATGTGGAAAGTGGTGTGATTACATTGATATGATTATATGCAATAATTTATGCTTGAAAAGTCATCAAGTAAATAATGCTAGATCACTGTGTGTCATAACTTAAACAAATTTAATATGGAATTAAATTCTAGCACAGTGCCCAAGTTTTACATCTATATTCATGAGATACTTTGTTTCATGTTTTGCTTTATGCCTGACAAGTCTTTCATTATAAAAAGATATATATTCCAGCTAAAACAGTTTTTTTCCTCCTGGATATACACCGACATTAGTTACCTTGACATTTTTCTTTTATATTTCAATACATATCGATAGGTTTTTCAGTTCTTTATGATGAACATTTTGCTCGTTTGCAGCTATAGAAGTACCATCTTTTCACGAGCTTAATTCAAAGTTTTGTGTATCCGATAAGATTTAATTTATCGACTAATGCTACTTTCATTAAAGTCAACGGTTTCTACTTCTATGTATGTAAACAATAAGTTCATATCATTGACATATTTCAGAAAAATGTATAAAATACTCAAGTGATATTTCATACCAGCCTGAGGTATTTTAACAGTCACCACACCTAATTGCTTTATGGCCCCTCGTAGATGTTTTATTTCTCGTAAACAGCGATTAGATTATCTCTGTCTCACAGGTAAGTGATATTATCTAACGAAGTTCACTATTTAAGCCCTTCTCTACTGTTAAAATCCAGTCCATTTACATGTGTGATTATTGCTATTATTTTTCCCTTGGGTTCCTAGTGGAACATAGGGATTCAGTAGCACGCCTCCATCCCACTGTCTTCTCTGCAGTCTTTTTAATCTAGCTCCACAACTGTCCACAAGCTTTCATCTCTTCCAACTCGCCGTTTTCACTTTGGATTTCACTCGAGGGCCTGGCGCGCGATGTCCCAAGCCGTGCTTCCCATTGCATGCCCAATCCATCTCCACTCTCTTCTTCGGGTGAAAGCTTCTTGGTTGGTTCGTTCCTACAGTTCCTTGTTGCTTATTCTTACCATTCTGGCCATCTGATCTTTAGTATCGAGCTAGCGTAGGCAGCTGTTGATGAATGTCTGTAGTTTGTTAGAAGTGCTTTTCGTGACGCCCCAAGTTTCTCAACTATCACACAGCAGAACTGACTTGATTGAATCGGTGTTGAAAATCCGGATCTTGTTCTTTTTGCTGAGTGCAGTAGATCTCCAGACTGATTTCAGATCAATGAAGAAAGGCCTGTCTTGCTGCCTTTTTGGTCCTGGTTTTGACATCCTCGTCTGTGCCACTGCTGCCTGTAGTTGAAACGATGCTGCTTTGTCTAGGTAGGTGAAAGAGACAACTTCCTTAAGTTTCTCCAGTTAATGGTGATTGGTGCTTGTTGTTGACGCTGTTGTTTGTTTGGTATCTTCATCACCTCCGTCTTCTCTACGTTCACTTAAAGTCATGTCTTCGCTGCTCCTTCTGTCAACTTGTTGGTTTTCGCCTGTAGATCTTTCAGTTTGTGCGACATTAGACGTAAGTCATCATTGGCGAAATCCAAATAGTTTAGGCTCTTTTCATCGGTCCAGCCAGCGTAAGCCCCTCTTCTCACTCCTCACGGTTCGCTACACGATCCAGTCGACCACAATCAGTAAGATTATGGGTGGTAATAGGCGGCAGCTTTGTCTTACTTTTGTCTTCACTTCAAAGGCGTCACTGAGCTTTCCACTGTGGATCACTTGGCATGTGGTGTCTTCATATAGCTTTCGAATGAGGTCGATAAAGATTAGTGGTACTCCGTAGAGTTGAAGTAACTGTCAAATTACTTCTCGGTTGACCCTGTCGAAGGCCTTTTCAAAGTCGATAAATTTGAGGTAAAGAGATGACTGCCATTCTATACTCTGTTCATTGATGAGGCATAGCGTTGCAATTTGATCGGCACATGATTTGTTTTGATTGAAACCAGCCAACCTGCTCTGGTCGTAATTTCGAATCCAGTGCATTCTTTAGTCTTTCTAGTATGATGCGGCATAATATTTCGCTCTGGGTGGACAGGGGTGGAGCATGATTTCTCGCCAGTTCTTTCAAAGGCTTAGATCGCCCTTCTTTGGGGGTCTGACAAGGTAGCCCTTCTTCCAATCAATCGGCAGGTACTTTTCTCACCTTCCTTCCTTCCAAACCTTCTGCAACAGTGGTGTCAACATGTCCGCTGTTGTCTCTACATCTATTTTGAGTGCTTCTGGAGAAATTCCATCTAGTCCTGTTGCTTTCCCGGATTTCGGCGACTTTATGGCTTTCACGACTTCACTTCTGCTTCCGTCGGAGGGCTTGTGTTCAGTGATAATTCTGTGGCCGGGCTGATGGTAGTATTTCTGGAGGAGATGTCGTTTGTAGTTTCGTTCTTCAATTTCGGTTCTGGGTGGTCTATCACCAACTTCTTTGAAGGCTTTCGACTTGATTTGGAAGGTTCCTTGCACTAGATAGTGGTTTGAACCTACATCTGCTCCGCTTCTTGATCTCATCTTGTGTCCAGTAGGTTGGCTGCGTCTCCACTTTCTTCACATTGAGATGAAGTCGATCTGATTTTTAGTGTACTGAGTCTATCTGGTGAAGTCCATGTAGCTTTGTGAATATCTTTGTGTTTGTACACGCTACCTCCAATCACCAAATCGTTGAATGTACAGAATTCTGCAAACAGTCCTCCATTCTCGTTCATGATTTCACCGAGTGCTTCTCAACCCATGATTGTTTCTTTTCCTGTGTTGTCCCCTCCCACTCTGGCATTAAAACCTGTCACCCATTAGAATTTTGATGTTGCCATCAAGAGTCTTGTCAATTTTTGATTCCAGTTGTCTATAGAATTCCTTCTCCTTCTCTTCATCTGCATTATTTTTAGGTGCGTAGTATTGAACGATTGTGATTTTCCTTCCTCC